ATGCCAAATCCAGTCTGAACATCTGGCTGACTGTGCGATGATCAATAATAATAATGATGATGTTGGAAGGGACCTTGGAGGTCATCTAGTCCAACCCCCTGCTCAGGCAGGAAACCCTATACCAGGGGTGTCAAACTTGCAACATCACGTGATGTGTCACGATGTATCGCGACTTTTTTCCATTGCTGGCAATGGGGTGGGCGTGGTTTTGCCATGACGCATCTGGCCCACAGGTTGCCCGTTTGACATCCTTGCCCTATACCATTTCAGACAAATGGCTGTCCAGTCTCTTCTCAGGAAAACCACACAAATATCATTATTCCAGGAGGGCTTAGGAATGACTCTTCTGAGAGGGCTATGTGATGGTGTGTTTTTTGGCATTGGACTTGGTGTAGCTTTAAAATAATACTGATATTATTTTAACTTGTTTCTTACTGTAAAGGAAAAATATAAATGGCTGTGAATTCCACTGGACTGAAGAGGCACATAAACTCTAGATATAACTATACGTTTTTTCTTTCCCAAAAGTATTAAAAAGTGGTATTCAGTACTGGAAGGATCCTGTTTTTTTTATTTATTAAGCTCCCTCTCATTTTTTTGTTCTTTGCTTTTTTTAAAAAAAGAAATGGTTACAGGTAGCCCTCGACTTATGGCCACAGCTCAGCCCAAAATTTCTTTTGTTAAACGAGACAATTAAGTAAATTTTGCCCCGTTTTATGATCTTCCTTGCTACAGTTGTTAAGTGAATCACTGCGGTTGATAAATTAAGTAACGCGGCTCTTAAGTGAATCTGGCTTCCCCGTTGATTTTGCTTTTCAGAAGTTCACAAAAGGTGATCACATGACCTTGGGACACAGCAACGGTCATAAGTATGAATCGATTGCCAAGCATCTGAATTTTGTTCACATGGGGGTGCTGCAAAGGTCGTAACTGTGAAAAATGGTCGTTAAGTCACATTTTTCAGTGCCGTGGTAACTTTGAACGGTCACCAAACGGACTGTGGTAAGTCGAGGACTTACCTGTATAGGGAATGGATCAATGTTGCATGAATGTATACGATTTAGGAAGTTGCCAGTTCAGTCAGCATCGCAAACTGTGCTACATTTTAAACAGTTGTGCAGAAAACAAACCTTCACGCTATTAGAGACAGGTACATATTGCTTAAAATCAAGTCCAATTCCCTCCTGAAGGCCATCTGGAACAATGGATTTGAAAAAGTGCAAGGCATGCATCTAGTTGTGTAATTTAAATGACCAGGCTGAACCAGCTGCCCACTCTATTGCCAATCAGGATTGAAAAAAACACTGCTTCTCTGCATGCCTTTTTACCAGTCTAGTTTATTATTTTATTGTAAAAAAGCCGGCATGTTGGCTGCTAAGCCGGTATGTTGGCTGCTGAATAGGCGCGGAATTCCTGGAACCTCTTGGAACATTTTAAGCCCGTTTTTGAAAAACCTTGTTTTCAAAAAAACCTTGTGCAGCTGCTGGAAGAGCTTTTAGAAGAGGATCAAGGGATTTCACCATATTCCTCACACGCACATGGATCCAACATCTGATGATCTTTGATAGACAGGTCAACGTAGAATTCTTTCAAGGCAAAAGTTTGAAACACATTGCTGAGGAGGACTAAGGAGCTCATTTTGCAGATATTCTCAATTTTGATTGCTTGTATTTCCAATATGAAGTGATCTTATGGAGCCAATTTAGAAAAAAAAAAACTTTTCTGCCTTTGGACCTTGGAAAGTCTCATGTAAGTAACACTAGACAAGACTGAGCTACATGGACTGATAGTCCAACTTTCCCTATGCTAGTTTAACCTGTAGTCATGCAACATGGAGAAAATTACATATGCCTGTGTTTCGATAGAAGTCACCCGCTGTAACAACTGAACTACATTCTTGCAACTTCCATTTCTGGTCCGCCAGGATGTTAAGTTGCTTAAATCTTATCTCACCATTAATTATTTCCGTGGTGTACACTCTTTCTTACATAACAACTAAGTCACACAACAGTGAATATCTGAGGTTTTATTGAATTTTATATACAGCATGAGTCACAGACAAACCTGTGACTACCAGACAAATGTCAATCCTTCTCAACAGTTAGCAGCTTAAAAGTTCTATAAACTACAGTGTCTGCCATACTCGTCATCCCATGCAAGTGAGTTTTTATTTTATACTTTTAAAAAAACTACACTTACAGTTGTGTCAGTTGCCTACTAATGCACAATGTCACCTGGCCTACACAACACAGATACACACATACAACTCTTTTGCCACATTCGGAATTTATCAAAACTGCTAAAGAATTTGACAACCACCCACCAACTGGCAACTTGGTTCCCATTGCTTGCACTTTTAATTTCGGAAAATCCATTCAGCGAACCAAAAGACAGCAAGCCTTTTGGCCAGTCCCATAACCTACAGCATATCCCAGCCAAATGGAATTGTTTGGGGTCCACTGATGCAAAATAAACAAATTAGGAAACTAGTAATTATGAACACACTTGATATTATCACAGAGTTCATATACAGGGATCATACTCTGTATATACTGTATTGTTTATGGTTGGAGGAACAATGTTTGAACATAGTATCTTCAGGTTTTTTTTTAAACCATCAAGTTAGATATGTTATGAAGCATTGAAAAAAATGCTAAACTGTTGTTCCCATCAATACAATCTGTTACATTCATTTCTTTTTGTGATCATCTGATATGCTATTTATATGTTACATATCACTGATCTAAAGAGGAAATTCTGGAAAATCAATACAAAACTGAGGAGGGCCACATCAGTAATAATGCTACACGCACATACTCACTTACTTGCAAACACTATCTGTAACAAATAACCCCAAAATGCTTGCAAAGGGAATTAGGAGTTTAAAGCTATAGTCGCATTTTTAAACAATTAACATTTGTTAAATAATTTGATGCAGTGAGGAGAATGAATTTTGTTAGCAAAAAAGGCAAAATGAAAAGAGTCATGTTAGAATATTCAACAGATTGGATGCAATCTCATAAAATATGAACAGAAACCTTTAGAATGCATTGAAAGCCTGTTTTAACCATAAACCAAAACATCTTTTGGGGGAAATTCTGAAGATTAGGGCTCTGCCATATTTCTCTTTTTTGCTGGTAAACAGATGCTAGTTGTTATAGCATTTAACTAATAATACACATTCAGAAATCATAAATGTTTACAAGAAAAAGCAATGAAGTATTCACTAACAGACTTTGGTGAATATTGAATAATGAATACTCATCTAGGTCATATTTGTTTATATGCTGTGCTAAGCTTATCTACAGAAAATTCTGTACTTCACAAAGGTGGCCCTAGGAATCACCTCAAGCATTTCATGTTGTGTCCAAATCATGCCTCTTTTAAGTTATTTAGTTTACCATTAAGAGCATGCAGAAAACTGGAGTGGTATTGAGATGTTTAGGAGCAGTGAACATAAATTCAATAAAAATTTGAAATGACAGGCCAAGGAAAATGTGAATAGAAACAAATATTAACAATCTACACCTATAGGGCTAGGACAACAGAATGCTTAGTTATTGGCCAGAATCTCTTCAATTTGACAAATTCCTTGAGGGAACAAGTAGATTTTTTTTCAGTACCAATATGTGATTCATGTTAGTGTTAGGGATCTGAGTGTATAAAGAACTGCAATTCTGAAAATGATATGCTAGACCTCTTGAATCACAGTTTAATTCTAAAGCAAAAGGGAGTTTCTCTACATAGGTTTTATGTATATAAGTTTTCTTTGTTGACAGTCAGAAGGCCAAGCTCCATTTAACTGAGGCGGAGGGACAGAAACAAAATTTAAATAATAAAACCGAACAAGTAAGAACTTCCATATGCATTTCCACGTTATGTAGGTTATTTTGGGATTGTTAAGACTCTTAGATAAAACACTGGTCAAGTTAGAATTAAATAATTATATTCCGGCAATGTGAAAGAATACTTAACTGTTTCACAGAGAAACAGAATGAAGAGTTTTAATTCTGAATTTCACAAATATAAAACCTGTTGGCCAGCATTAAAAAAGTTTTGGAAAAACATGACACCGTGGCTGAAGACCTACTAACAGAATGAATATTCTTATACTTCTAAGTCCTGTTTACATTTTCGAAAAAGCAATGAAAGTAGAGGTACAAGAAGCTCACGCCACGGCTTTTTAAAATATGTCTCTTGCAAAGGCAAATTCTGTTTGGAACCCTTACACATGTAACTTGCTCAACTTCTTGTCTTACATGCTTGAAACAGGAAGAACCTGTTTCGAGCATGTGTTGAGTAACAGAGTGTGTGTGTGTGTGTGTGTGTGTGTGTGATACAGTTCACTTGCTCTTTTGTTTCCCTATTTCTTGACAATGCTCAGCTGCCACCAAATCTTACTAATGCAAGAGGTTTCATCATGTCCTATATGGGGAACACAAGGAGGTTGAAGAGGCTGACTCTAAATATAAAAAAGTACCAACAGCATGAACACTGTTAGTAGTCTGTTAGTAGTACAGCTTTGGTTTCAGTTCCCAAGGGCTTATTTGAATAACACATTAACTCAGGTACTATTTAAAGGATTGGCCTAATGACTTGATGCTTCCTTAAGCATTTATGCCTTCCTTAACAGACACAGGGTAACTTTACGATAGATCTGAAGCTGACCGACTGTAATCTATCTTAGCTACCACTCCAACTTTGGCATGGAGGAGCCTAAACTTAAAAGTTTAAGTCCTATTTATTATTGATATTAAGACTGCCTAGTTTTCTTCTCAGAACAGCTCACTCACTCATGCTTTCAAAACTTCCTGCTCATTTTTCTTAAAATAAACCAGGATTCAAAATACCTGGTCCAGACACAACAGGACCAGGAACAACATTTTCAGTTCCTCATTTACTTCCAAACAAAGCAAAGGGTATATGAACTGGCTGGAGGGATCAGATCATCTGTTTTGTTAATGCGAGGTCTGGAAGTTAAGGAGGAAACAGATCACATTTGAACAGGTTTGCACTTGAGATACATTAAACATTATCTGCAACCTTCCAAATCATCTCAGAACACGGTAGCTCATATTTATTCACACGCTTCTTCATTTACGAACGTCACTTCTTTATTCAAAGAGAGCAAGAGAGAGAAAGAGAGATGATGCTCTCAACCATTAAGTTCAAAAACAATCCCCAATAAGAATAAAAAATCCTATTAGAAACAATAAGGAAGCACTGAGAGTTTTGAGTATTACACTCTTCAAGTATGCCATTTGGATTTTTAAATCTGTGACTATACATACATTAAAAAACAGTCAAAGTGCAACCAAGGGCTTTTGCTTAAAATAGTCAAAGGGCTACTTCAAAATACTGTAGTACAACTGTGCAGGAACTGTACACAGTAGAACTAATCCACTTCATATATCTAGCCAGAAAGTTTAACAGCAGAAGAGGCAAACCCAGGAAGAGATCCAGAAAGTTCCATGTATTGCATTGGTCTTTCACTAGAGAAAGCCATCCTGAAGCTATACATTCAGACACAGAATGTGGTCAGGTTTCACAGTAGCATTGTAGGATAATCAGAGTATCGTTATGCACCGGATTATCTTTGTTAGAATTTATGTAATTGTCTTTTCCTCTTCCGACCAGGTTTAGTACAGTAGTTGAGCCATAATTTAATTTGCTCATTGGTGTGCTCCAGATTTGTGTTTTATCTCTGTACACATACAGAATATTAAGATTTGCATCCAAAGAGAACCGTGCTACATAAAAACTGTTCAGGATTTTTGACAAAAAAAAAAAGTTCTTTAATAAATTCTAAAAAAAACCCTCACTATTGCCAATATGTCTCAGAGAGAAAATATTATTTTAACTGTAAACAAATTCACACTCGGACATGTTAACATCTTCAGTGGAGGAAGGAACTGACGACTAAGTTTGATGCACTTCCTTGCCAAGTGGGCGAGGCAACGGCCCGTTCTTGTCATCATCTGGGGGGTGAAAAGAAGCGTTCCAAGTAGCTGGTAATGGCGTCCCAGTGCTTACACAGAAAGGCAATGAAGACCATGGCAAAGAAAGTGCTGAACGTCCTGCTGCGAGTCTTCATCAGGGGGACCACGCAGTTGGCCACGGTGGAGACAAACACCAACAGGACAGCCATCACAGCTAAAAGGATGTTTATTAGTTTGCCCAGAAGGTTTCTGGCAGTGGCATTTTCAAGGCCCTCCAACTGGACAACTTGCTGCTGCTGCTGTTGCAGTTCCATCTTGGAGATTCTGGTCTGGCAGGCTTCCAGGGCCTCCTGTTGAGCACAAGAAAACTGCTTAGTCATCTCAGAAGGGAGAGAGAGATCAATCAGACCCTATACTAGGCTCTTTTTTACCCGAACAGAATGTGCCTGTAGGCATAAATGTAACGTGTCAAGCAGTCCACTGACAAAAACATCAGGTGCCAGAAGCTGACAGGATAATAATCAGAAATGCAGCCTGGCACATTTCCTAAATAATATACTAAACACACCCTGCAAAGCCTTTTGGGAATCCATGAGCTGCAATCACATTTTGCAGGATGTGACTAACTCCTTTGGTTTCATATCCAGGAGCAAAATTAAGGTTTCTCTAGGCTTGTTCCTACAGAACTGGGTTGCAAAAAATGTGGACAACTAACAGATATTAGTTTCTGTATCTCTCTGCTACTATCTAGCAGTTATCAGGATTTCTACTGCCCAGACTTGATAGCCCTAATCTGTAATATGGCTGGCATAATCTCCACGAAATTGTAGTACTTTGAATGGCAATAAATCCCAGATAAAAGTAATTTATAATTCATGGTATCACATCAAAAGCTTATGTTGTGAACAATATGTAGTGAGGAATTAAAAGTCTTTCAGGTGAGGGATACAGTAACTGTCTCTTGATTTCACGTACCCGCTTATTTTCCTCTGCACAGACATTTAGGTCTTAAACCTGACATTGTCACAGTTCTTGGTATAAATGCTCCAGTTGTAATAATAACATCCAAGTATAATTTATGCTGAAGCAGAAATAATGTCACTGATGTAAATAAATTCTTTTAGGTCAGGAGTGCACAATTTCTGTAGCTTTTGAGAACTGCACCAGATTTGCAAGGTATGTCAGGAATCACTCTCTAAAAATCGACTGGGGCAGGGCCCCCTTTTTCTGGACGGGGGTTTGAAAGTTTTAAGTGGTGAAGAAAACCACTCAATCATCTGCAATCAGTGTGACCCTCAAGATGTCCGCTAATACTGTTCATGTGTGCTACCTATATAGATTCATAACCAAGAAAAAGGTAGACTGTGCATTTAAAAGTGTATCTGCCGTTGTGCTTTTGCATTTGACGTTATATTCCTACACAAAAAAACCTGCCAAATGACAGGATGATTGAAAATGGGGGTACTAAATTTCTCCTCTACTTAATCTGTTCTTAAACCTGTCTCCCCCACTGTTTTTCCTGTTCTTGTATGTTCTTATATTTGAAGCATAGCTGGGAGGAGGCCAAACATAATTTATGGAGTTTCTCAATCATCCAGATCATGGTTGTCCCAAAAGTGCTGTTCAAAAGGCAACTGGACTTTCTTCTTTTCCTTGAAAATATTTTGCTTCTCATCCAAGAAGCTTCTTCAGTTTGGATCTGAACTGAACTTCAGAACTAAAGAAGCTTCTTGGATGGGAAGCAAAAAAATTTCAAGGAAAAACCAAAAGTCCAGTTGCCTTTGGAACAGCACTTTTGGGACAAACATAGTTTAATTTTCTACACAATCCTTTGCTGGATATGTCCATATGGCAGAGATTTATTTCAGTGCAAAGATTTACCAGCATCATGTGGAATTAGCCTTCTTGTAAGGGATAAACCAATATTCTGAGTGAACATGCAGTTCAGTTCTTTAACATTCCAGATTTTTTTTAACTTTAAATACTTTATATACCCAGATTAAAAAAAAAAATCTTCAAGAAGTTCCTTATTTAGACAAGTAACAAGAAAAATCTGCTTCCCGAAGAGATGGACATATACTGTAACACCGGTTACTCTTTTTATTTCTACATCTGTATGACTTCATTAAAATTAATAGCAAATATAGCCTTATTAGGAACAATACCATAAAAATTACTGTCTGTCATGGTATAAACATGGCTCCTTTATTATAATTCTCTCTAAAGATGGAAGCAAGTTTGCCAGGAAATGAATTGATTTTTATTGTAAAACTGCCAGCTTTTCTTTATCAGGAATTTCTTAATAGGATTTGAATAAATTTTGCAAAGGTGTAAATGATTCTGGCTCCAGTTAAGGGTCACAGAATTGAGATAATTTGGCATTTAAAACACAGTACCTCAATTCTACTATTAATGAGGATTAAAATATAAACTGAAATAGAGCAATGTTTGTGAAAAATGCTCAACATAATTTAAATGAAGCGCAAATACAAACAACTGCTAACCTGGATGTCTCTGGCTCGTTCATAGGACTGGTAAGCTATTTTTTCCTCCATGCTGGCCAATTCTTGTTTTAAGTTGAGGATTTCATTCTGATGAAGTTCAGTCAGGTCATTCAGCTGCTCTTCTAGTCGCTCACATCTATGACAGAAAAAAACAACAACCATGGCTGTCATTTTTTTCTTTTAAAGACATCAGCACAATCTTCCTAGGTATCAAAACAGTTACAATAATTTTTAAAACAGGATTTAGCTGGCGAACATGACTTGCAATGATATAAAATAAACTGCACTTTTCTAAACTGCATCGGACCCGTCTCTTGGTAGGTTTTAAAATGTTCGAAGATACTATTCGGAGTGTCTCCGCTGACAGTTCCATCCTCAGTCCAACGTGTACTATCTTCAATCTGAGTCTTATCTTATGCTTTCTAATTTTGGAACATATCCAAAAACAAACTGAACGTTCATAAACAGCTGAATTTGAATTCAGCCCTTGCATCTGTTTCCTAGGCAAAGTCACCCCTTTGAAATATACCAGGGAAAACATAATGAAGTATCTTGGAAGAGGGAAGCAGTACAATTTCATATGCATGTGTAGAATTTATTAAAAAAAATTGTATAGCTGCCCTTATATGTAACATAACCCTGGGTAGCTCACAACAATAATAAAAGAATAAAGGCAATAAAAAGAATAAAAATCAGCAAAACAGAGCACGCCCAGTGCGCCAAACACACATACATACACATATGAATAACCACTGTAGAGACTGCCTGGGCTCTGGCCACACATCACTTCAAGGCTTGTGGAAAAGGCAACTCTTTAACACAGTGGTTCTCAACCTTTTTAATGCCGCGACCCCCAACCGGTCGTAAGTCGAGGACTAAACCGGTCGTAAGTCGAGGACTACCCAACCGGTCGTAAGTCGAGGACTTTCCCTGCCCGGGAGCGCCACACATGCGTGGTTCTGCCCCCTGCGCCAGCCGAGGCGTAGCTGGCAAGCGGCAGAGACGGAGCAGGCCGACCACCAGCTGGCCCAGCCCAAGGGAGGTAAGGCACCCGCCGGAAAAGGGGAAAAAATGGCGGACAGCCTTGCTTGGCGACCCCCGTGAAATGGTCGATCGACCCCAAATGGGGTCGCGACCCATAGGTTGAGAACCGCTGCTTTAACAGCTTCTGGGAAGACCAGGAGGGTAGGGGGCCTGCTGGATCTCAGGGGGGGGGGGAAGGCTACTTCCAAGAAAGCATTGTGACAAGAGTGTTTTTGGTTTTGACCTTTTCCTGATCAGTTTTATAACCTAATTAGTAACTATGCTACTCCTTCTTTCTAATCAAATTGCTCTCTCTCTCTCTAGGATTGAAAACTGTTTTTTCCCTGTTATACCCATACCTACTGCCAAGAGTTGAATTCATTGTTTTAAAATGCTGTTTCTTTAACAACTGTTGTAAATTCAGAAATCCTTTTAGAAAGGGAAAAAATATTTGATCTGAATGTTGTGAAATGGCTCTCTATCCTGTGTATTATATGACAGTAGTTGATATTCCCAACATTTGGGTGGATTCCCTTTAAGAATCAGCTGTGTGTTTTCCTAGCCATATCTGAAAAACTCAATGGTTATTCTGCTGTTTCTTAATTGTTTGGATTAGTCAGTTTAGATTAGAAAAATAAATTTATACAGCACTAAAAAAATACAGGCCAATATCTGGATTCTCCTTAAAACATCTAGAATGGGAAAAAAATAATGCTATGCAGCAAAAGCCTCGTTTGGTTACATCTACGTGTAGTTACAAAAAAGAACTACCTGCAAGTGATAGAGAGAAAAAGAAAATAATCAATTCGATTTTAATAAGAACTATCCTATTCTGATTTCTCAGGCTTATAAATGAATTAGAAACAGTTGGTTAGATGTACTGGGAGAAGGAAAAATAATCAGTTTAAGTAGGTGTATGTTCAAATAATCAAACACAACAAGAGGAAATAGGATCTGGGTGTGTAAGGAGAGCTTCCAAACTTTGTTTGCTTATTCCTGAGGCAGAAATACAGAAGAATAAGAGAAATAAGGAAGAATAAAATAAGGAATAAGGAAGAATAAAAGAAACTCACCTTTTTTTTGCATACAAACCTCTGATTAGGGGAAATGCTCCAATGGCACTGAAAAAATGTCTTAATAAACCTTTCATCCAAACTGCTGCTAAGTGAAGAAATATATTCAGTTCTGTAACATGGGAGTGAGAGCTTTTCCTTTGCTCTTATTTTTAGAATAGCAGCATGAATATGTAAGGTGTCTGAAGCAGCAGAAGGATGTAATTGAATTGCTGTTGTTCACATGCTGCACATGAACCCAGTGACACATGCAATAAATGTAATCATATGCACTAGCGCAACTACAATGATATAATAAGCAGGAACCCAGGGTTTCCTCATCAGTTCTAATGTTGCCTATTCAACATTCTTTGACTCTAATCAGATACTATCCAATGTTTGCAAGCTGCAGCTCACTCATCACATAATTGGACAGGAGCCATGGTGGTGCAGTGGTTAGAATGCAGTATTGCAGGCTAAAAAGTACGTATAGTCAAGGCCATGGTCTTCCCAGTTGCAATGTATGGCTGTGAAAGTTGGACCATAAGAAAGGCTGAGCGCCAAAGAATTGAGGCCTTTGAACTATGGTGCTGGAGAAGACTCCTGCAAGTCCCTTGGACTGCAAGGCGTTCAAACCGGTCAGTCCTAGAAGAGATCAACCCTGACTGCTCTTTAGAAGGCCTGATCCTGAAGTTGAAACTCAAATACTTTGGCCACCTAATGAGAAGGAAGGACTCACTGGAGAAGGGCCTAATGCTGGGAAAGATTGAGGGCAATAGAAGATGGGGACGACAGAGGTGGCTGGATGGAGTCACTGAAGCAGTAGGCATGAGCTTAAATGGACTCCAGAAGATGGCAGAGGACAGGAAGGCCTGGGTCAGACACGACTTCGCAACTAACAACAACAACAATTGCAGGCTAACTCACTGTTCACTGCCAGAGGTCGGTAAAAAGTTTGTTGGGGGCAATATGCTGACTCTGTAAACCGCTTAGAGAGGGCTGTAAAGCACTATGAGGCGGTATATAAATCTAAGTGCTATCGCTATTGCTAATTGGCCGCCTCTCAAGAAAGCTGGGAATGCATTGTGACCCTCCAAACTTTCTATAACCAACACATATGCCTTCATGCTATTGTCTTTTGGGGCAAATGCAGAGTGAAGAAAAAGAGGGAGAAATAATACGACAAAGAAATTAAAGACGTAAGGAAGCATACTTAAAAGTAGTTTACTCCAACAGCATTCATTACACTTCTTCAAACTTTCAAGCCCTTGCAAATTAATCCATCACATCTGTGCGACATGGTACCAATTCTAGTCACTGCCCAAACAAGGGACAAAATGAAACTGGCCTTCCCACAAACAAAGAGGTCCTTTTGGTCCACTATAAAATGCAGGTGAGTGAAAAGAGACACAAGCGTAGAACTTCATGCTGATACTTGGTAGTCACTCTTTCATACTGCTTCTTAGCTTAGTAGTAGAGATGCCTCTTGACACGGTTTTCAGAATAGCCTATATTACAGGGCTAGGCAACCTTGGCTCTTTTATGACTCGTGGACTTCAACTTCCAGAATTCCTGAGTCAGCATAGCTGTTTATGGTACTCTCTCAGTACCATATAACAAAGTGAAATTGTATTAACTGTCATTTTGGCTTCATTCAGGAATATTAATTCCTCACAACACACCATAATATAGGTACTCCTCAACTTACAACAGTTCATTTAGTGACCGTTCGAAGTTACAGCAGCATTGAAAAAAGCGAATTATGACTGTATTTCACACTTGTGACGGCTACAGCGTCCCCATGTGATCAAAATTCAGATGTTGGCAACTGACTCATATTTGTGACGGTTGCCGTGACCTGGGGTCATGTGATCACCTTTAGTGACCTTCTGACAAGCAAAGTCAATGGGGAAGCCAGATTCACTTAACAACCAGGTTACTAACTTAAGAACTGCAATTCACTGTGGCAAGAAAGGTCATAAAATGGGGCAAAATTCTCTTAACAACTGTCTTGCTTAGAAACAGAAATTTTGGGCTCAATTATAGGTCATAAGTCAAAGACTACTATATTTATCTGCTATCTTTCTGGCAACATTTTCACCTTTTTAAATTGTTCTAGCTTGAGGTAAAGATGCTAACAAAGTACACAAATTCATCTATGTGAGTTAGTGTCCTTGCATTGATGAAAAAATACACACGCCCAACAGCACATCTCTAACAAGATAAACATTTGTTACTAAAAACCAAAAGGACAACTGATATTCTTACCTTATCTCATGCTCAGTTCTGAACCATTTGTTAAGCATCCTATTTATTTTCACTCTTGCTTTACTTCCATCAATGTACTACCCTTGTTGAACACAGTAACTAATCTTCAACCTCATTTTATTGCTAAACATTCCATAATTCCAGCCTATTTACTTTCTGATATTCTTTTTTTTCTGTATTTCTTAACGACCTGCTGAGGAGCAAAAATCTGTCCACAGGCACAACCCCTGACTTGCCATAAAGCTACATTTCATTTCCCAAATTTTGCTCATTGTCACACCCTTTCAATTAGAAATTTGTCAAACATTTCCTAAGCACATTTAAGAAACAAATCCCTTATTAATTTTGCATTCACTTTATATACGCAAGCAATAATAGCATTCGTCCAATGCTCAAATTCAGATGCAATCTACACAACTGTGTTGAAACAACCCATATTTTAAGTTTTCTCCAACTACATAATCTATAACTGAAATCTTGCCATTTTTCAAAATTCTTACAATATTTATCACCTATGTTCTAGACACTAATACTTCTTGAATTCTACTCTTCAACCTATCATTATCATTCCTGTACAAATCTTTAAAATATTCCTTTCAGCGTTTCCTCATTTCAGTTTCAAAGCTCTTCACCTACTTCTAAAACAATTTAGATTCTCTGCATTTTCTCTACTTCTTTTAATCTGATCAATTCCTTGCTCTCGCTGGCTACAATTTGCATCCTTTTCTTGATATATTTCTCACAGGTTTTTTCTCTCACTGTCATTGTCTCATAATTTCTGACTTTGCATTCT